TGGCCCTAGAAATTTATATTTAACTACTGTATATTTTCTTTTTGTGGCTTCTAAATCATTTAAAATTTTACAGTGATAATTTTTTGCTTGTTTGTTTTTCCCTTAAATCTACAACCTCTCTTTTCATTTATTTATCATCTTTTTTGGAGCTTTTGTTTTCTGTGAATTTGTTCTTATTAAATTGTTCTTCTTTATGAAGCACTTGTAAAGAAATTCAACATTGCATTTAAATTGTTTTTTTCCAGTTAGGCTCTAGGACTTCCTTTTGCTTCTGTTCTGTTTATTGCTCTCCAGTGTGTTTAGATTGCTGCTGTGCTCTTTCTTTTTATGGGACTCATACTTGGGCAGCTCAGGCCAGGTATTCGGTTTGTTCTTGACTCTCTTTTCAATAAATCTGAGACCAGTCTGATTTCTCTTCTGATCTCTAGTGTGATCTCTGGGCATATCCTGTGGGCTTCCATTTCCTCCAGCAGGAGGGAATGGTTTGGATGGGAGTGGGGATGAGTGAGGGACTCATCAGAGATGAGCTGTAGCCTTTACTAGACTGCTTGGGCTCTGTGCTCCCCTTTGAAATTTTGTCAAAAATTTTACACCATATTCACTCCATCTCGTTTGGGAAATTGCCGTTCAACTTTGGGTTCTTTTCACCTGTTTATGTGAAGCCCTGGAGGCTTTTCCAGTGGGGTCAGCCTCACTGTTCACTTTCCTTGTTTTCTTTGGTCATTCCCAGCAGCAGTTTCCCTAACTCCTGTCAGAGGAAGGAGACTGGAGACTTCTTTGGGCTTTTTCTCTCCATAGACATGGATAGTGGGGTGACTCACGAAGATTGGGAGGGCACATCATTAAGGCTCTGGAAATTCTGGACTGAGTTAGGACTGACCTATGGTGGGTTTGTCTGATCTCATTTGTTTCTTGGCATTTTGATTGTTTTTTTATATTTAGGTAAAGATAAGTTTCTCCTTCTCTCTGACTTCTTTTCTTTTCCCTTTTCTCCCATTTTGTCTGGCAGAAAATAAAAAGCCTGTGAGAAAGTTTCAATGTATCTTTTTATGCAGGGGTCCTTTATGTATACGTTTATATGTATGAATTGTTAAGTCTTCTCAAATGCCCTCATAACCTATCTGTGCTGAAGGAACAAAGGAAAGATTTTTATTCATGCTTGGGCTCAAGTGTGAAAGGAATGGGGACTGGAAGAGAGGTCTTGGCACCCAGGAAAGTCATGGTGAGAAGTACTGTGGGGAGGTGGAGCTCAGGGGTGTAAGACTGGGCATTTCTATCCCCTCCTGGTGGAATCTTCCCTCCCGGGACTCTTTGCTGGAAGAATAGAGTGCTTTGTGGTTGTTTGGAAAGGTGGCTGTTCTTTTGTAAGCACTAATAGGTTTTTCAGATGATTATCTTTCTTGGGAGCAGAGCCTGCAGCAGCATCGACTCTTGCTGCCTTTGTGCAGCACTGATGCCAGTTTTTGCTCCAGCAGTTCCTGGTGTTTAGAAGGCGATACTGGAGGATCTGGAGTGTGGGAGATACAGAGAAGCCCTAAAATTAATCAGAAAGCATTCCCATTTAACAGGGATAAGACTAAATATGTTAAGCAAGACTCAAGGATAATAATGACATGTGAGAAGAAAAACGTGATACAAAAATGGGATGAGAAAGAAAAGGCTGCTTTTGAGCCCCTGCAGAGAAGCAGGCTAATGAAAGGAGGTGATTCACTCACTCACAATGGGCAGTGACCCAGCAGAAGTGGGTATTTTGATACTTTTCTCTTGAATGGTGTAATTTCAAATTTGACACAATGGAAGATTTTTCCTACTTGTGCTTTTCAGAAAGGTCAGTGACTGGCTTGTAAATAAAAAACATGGAGATATAATTTTTTTTTAGGTTTAATTGAAGTTTTATTTTTACTTCCAGATCCTAAGGGCCGGCCCGGTGGCGCACTGGAGAGTGCGCTGCTTGGGAGCGTGGTGGCGCTCCCCCTGAGGGTTCGGATCCCATGTGGAGACCGGTTCCCGCTCACTGGCTGAGTGTGGTGCGGGCGCAACACCGAGGGTTGTGATCCCGTTGCCGGTCCCCAGTACGGGCGCGACACCAAGGGTTGCGATCCCGTTACCGGTCAGTAAAAAAAAAAGACAAAAAGGAGGAAAAAAAAAAAAAAGATCCTTGGAGGACCTTCTCAAGGATAACAAGTAGAGGTTTACTTTTTTAATAATGCTATCTCCATTTGAAACTAGAGATTTGCAGTTGATTTTAAGACTGGGCTGATAAATATTTGTAATTTCAGCGTTGCCACTATTTTAATTTGGCTTTGTCAGGCTTCTTTAAATTATGTTGTCTTTGTGTGTAGGAAAAAGAATCCAGATACTATAAATAAAAAGAATGATAAATTGATTGCATAAAAGATTTAGACCATATAGAGACAAATAAAAAATGGGAGACACCTAAAGGCAAGAAAGGACTGAATTCTTTAATTAAAAAACAGAAAACAGTGCTTTGTAAGTCAGTAAGCAAAAAAAAGAGCAATTTAATAGAAACATGGGCACCTAGAATTACAGGGAATTAGTAGACTAGACAAGGACTTTTTATATACTTATGAAAAATGCTTGATCTTAATAAAGTCATTATTTTGCATATCATTTTGACAAAAAATTAAAAGTTTGTTAATCCAGGCGCTATTGAATGATTGGAGTGAATGATGATTGGTTTAGCTTTTAATGAGAGCATTTTGATTATATCTATCCAAATTAAAAATCTAAATTAAAAATCATATGCACTTTGGCTGAGTAATCCCATTTAGCAATATTACTATGTCACAGATATACTTACAAAAGCTAGCCAAACATGTTAAACAAGCTCATAATAGCACTGCTCTCCCCCCAAAAAATCATACAAATTTTAGGTGTTTGGTTAAATAAATCCTACAGGAGAATATTGCGTAGTCTTTAAAGGTAATACAACAGATCTATAATTGCTGATGTAAAAATTGTTTACAAAAACATTAGTTATGCTTATTATGAATTCTTTTGAATGAATTAAGAAAACCATTAAGATAATTTATTCTGTGGGAGAGTGGTTATATTCTTTCTGTATTTTTCAAAAAATTTCTTATCCATACATTTATTTATTTATCATATCAAAAGTTATTGTATGAGTCTTGGGTATATACACCATTTTCTGTTTTCTTTATAATTTTTTGTCTTAAAAATAGCTATTATATGTTACTAAAAATAAAAAGGAATGAAAAAGCAAAAAAAATATGTGTTTATTTCTTCTTAATGGTAGCAAGTCATTGTTTAATATGAGTTACGTTTTCTGTTTTGCATATTTATATTCAGCCAGAATTAATTATAGAGTCCTCTCTCACTCTCTCCTTACTCCAATACTTCAATAAATTATTAATTTGTTACAGAGAATTGACCAAAATGACTTAAATGAATTGTAGTCTCAGGAGTGTCCTGGACCTTTCTTTTTGGTTTAATTACAATCCCTTAAACTAGAAGGTAACCTCCTGCTGACATTTTTTCTGTGATTAGAATTTGTGATATTGGGGGCTGGCCTGGTGGCGCACTGGAGAGTGCGCCGCTTGGGAGCGCGGTGGCGCTCCCGCCGAGGGTTCAGATCCCATGTGGAGACCAGTTCCCGCTCACTGGCTGAGCGCGGTGCGGGCGCAACACCGAGGGTTGCGATCCCGTTACCGGTCAGTGAAAAAGACAAAAAGGAAAAAAAAAAAAGAATGTGTGATATTGGGTTTCAGCACTTTGTCAAAGAACTTTTTATTATGATGCACTTTCTGGCATAAGAAATACTTCCTTGTGAACTATTTCAATGAAGGTGATTTCTTTTCTTCTTTAATTACACCAGTGATTTTCCCACCTGTGTTTTGTCTTGATGGTCTCAGGCCACATGCATTTACCTGGTCACGTTTAGATCTGCTTGTTGTACCTTACAGGGAAGAGATATGGCCTTGGCAGTTTAAAGAATGAAGGAATTTGTTTTAGTTCAAAGCATTGTGACTTGGAGTCTGAAACAGTATGACACCCTCTTCAGCATTTGTCTGTCCTTGACTATTTTGTGTCCGGCTATAAACTTTTGTATTTGTAAAATGCTATGAGCTGAAGTCAGAAGATTATCTTCCATAGAAATGAGTGAAGAATTATGCCAATAAAAATAATTTTATGAAAACTGAAAATTTTCTATTAACTAATTTTTCATTGAGTTCTACCTTGGAGATGGTGTTTCTTTCTCAAATAATTAAACTCCATGTACCAATGACAGTTCCTTTTCTTTTAACTTTGATATTCAGAGTTGTATAAATTATTGCAGTCCTTTAGGATAGCTGTTTTGTAGTCTGTGTCAAGAAATTTGACTCCAATCATCTTAGTTTTAGGAGTTTATTTAAATCTCAAGAAAGTAATTCAAAAGAAAAATGATTTATACACAAAAAATGTTCCTTAATAGAAGAATGTATATGTGAATTATGGTATATCCATTTGGTAGGAATGTTACGCAACTAGTAAGCTTATAGTTGTGAATCTCATGTGGCATCTTTGGAAAATATTCATAAAATGAGGGTCAGTGAGAAATGGGTGAACATGCTTCTCATGCCAAAGCTGGCAGAACATGCATTTGGATGGGAAAGTCAGGAATGTTAAAGAAATTAGAAAAATAAAAATAGTTGATTTGTTGGAGAGTGGGAAATACAGGTGAAGTTATTTATTTATTTAATTTATTTACTGTCATAAGTTCTGCATTAAATAAAAATGTCCAGAGAAAGGAAAGGAACAGAAGCCTGGTGTTGTGGGAGGATGAGGAGATAACAGATGAACTAGGCCTTCTCTGTGGGCCCCTGTCCCAAATGATTGTTCGAAGAGACACACAGTAGGGATGACAATGACCTCCTTTACCAGGAGGCCAGGTCTAGCCTGTACACCGTCCTTTAAGAGATGGAAATATTGTAATGCTTTGCAATTTATTCAAGTGCTGTTTTTTATTTCAATTTCCCCAGGTTCTTTCCCTTGCTGAATTCTTCTGGCCATGTATCCTGTTCATGATTCTGACAATACTTCGCTTTCAAGAACCTCCCAGACATAGAGACAGTTGTAAGTTTCACTTTTTAATACATTTATTGAATTATGAACTGTAGAGCTAAGGCTGGGTCTGGAGCTCACAGACCCCTTGAGCCCATTGTCCAGACTGGGTCACAAACCCTTCACGTGCAGGTCTGTGACCTAGGTAACAGAAAAAAAGGTCCTTGTAGCTTTGGTCGAAGGGATAATAAGCTTTATTCAGCACACACATGTCTAAGAGCTAGGCAGTCCAAAGAGAAACTAAGCAGCTGCCAGCAAAGTCCAAAGAAAAACTGAGCAGCTGCTAGCAAAGTAAACGTGCTCTATTTTTAGACACAATCTCTGCCAAGCCACTGCTTCACACACTGAAGAACACACAAGAATAGCAACAAGCTAAAAGTACCTGGGCGTGCATGCACACTAACTCCACCCCCACACAACTTGTTTACAAAGAATGTGCTGCATGACCCCCAGCCAGACCTGAGGCGAGGGGGCCTGACTATAACTACTCTATTTTCCTCACATGAACCTTCAGAGAAACAAAACAAAACAAAACATAGCACTTTTTCAAACTCTGTTCATTTTTTTTTTCCTTTTTGTCTTTTTTACTGACCGGTAATGGGATCGCAACCCACCGGGCTGGCCCAAACTCTGTTCATTTTT